GTTACGTGTGGAATGTGTAAATATAGCCCGTATAAAAAGCCTCTCCAGGGCTGAGATTGATTTTGCGCTGGTTAAAGTGCCGCTGGACTCGACTGGATCCAATCCAGAGACTCGCAATATCTGATCTAGTGCCGGGAAGAGCCGCTGTCATCAGCTCTGTCCTTCCTTCGGCCAGGGCCTCTCTCTCTCTCCAGGATAGTGGTTGTTCTTTCCGTTCTGATGTATCCAGAGGAAACTGGTGATGTAGTCTCAAACATGACACAAGAGCAGCTTCCACCAGCAGAGGTCATGTGTTCACATCAGGCTTAAAGGGTTAGTTCACCCAAAAATGAAAATGATGTCATTAATGACTCTCCCTCATGCCGTTCCAAGCCCGTAAGACCTCCGTTCATCTTCTGAACACAGTTTAAGATATTTTACATTTAGTCCGAGAGCTTTCTGTCCCTCCATTGTAAATGTATGTACGGTATACTGTCCTTGTCCAGAAAGGAGATAAAGACATCATCAAAGTAGTCCATGTGACATCAGTGGGTTAGTTAGAGTGGGTTGAAGCATCGAAAATACATTTTGGTCCAAAAATAACAAAAACTAGGACTTTATTCAGCATTGTATCGTCTTCCGGTTCTGTTGAAGACGATAAAGTCCGAGTTTTTGTTATTTTTGGACCAAAATGTATTTTCGATGCTTCAAAACATTCTAACTAACCCACTGATGTCACATGGACTACTTTGATGATGTCTTTATTTCCTTTCTGGACAAGGACAGTATACCGTACATACATTTCCAATGGAGGGACAGAAAACTCTCGGACTAAATCTAAAATATCTTAAACTGTGTTCTGAAGATGAACGGAGGTCTGACGGGCTTCGAACGACATGAGGGAGAGTCATTAATGACATCATTTTCATTTTTGGGTGAACTGGCCCTTTAACCTTCATCCTCTCTGCAGTAATGATGAGGAACCTTGTGACATTCACTGCAAAGAAATGCTTTTCTTACTTAGTATTTTTGTCTTGTTTCCAGTCCAAATATCAAAAAATTCTTACATCAAGATGCATTTACTAATGAGTAAAATTACATAAAATATTATGTCCTGTTTTCCAGGGGAATTAATCAGAATTGAGTGAGTTGATGCTTAAAAAAAGCAAAATGATCTGCCAATGGGGTGAGAATCTTAATTCAAACAGAAACAAGATTATTTGTCTTACCCCTTTGGCAGATAATTTTGCTTGTTTTAAGCAAAATCTCACTTTATTTTGATTAATTTCGCCAGAAAACAAGACTTAAAATTGTATGTGATTTTACAACTTTAGTAAATGCATCTTGATTTGAGAAATGTGTGATATTTGGACTGGAAACAAGACAAAAATACTAAGTAAGAAAAGCATTTTTTGCAGTGTCTGCTTCCTACATAAGCACATTGCTGAACTAAAGTGTATAGACAGCAACACACACCACAACATTAGCACTCACAATTGAGTTTGGTAATACTAAATTAATAAGGCTGAACTACACTACTGTTGGAGTCAGATTGAACGTTTTTGAAAGGCTTTATTTTATTTTATTAAAATTCAGTAAAACGGTAATATTACTACAATTTAAAATAATATTTCTATTTGAATTTATTGTAAAATGTTTATTCAGTTCACTTCATAACTAGTGAAAATTGCAACATTCACGCTGTTATTGAACTAAATCAACATTACATTAAAATAAAAATTTAGCGGAATAATGACACTTGTCTCTTTAGAGCTGAAATTGAATTTGTTTCACAGCTGAAGAACTTTGCAACATTAACACTGTTATTGTTCTGTTTATCTCTGTAAAGCTGCTTTTAAAACGATCTATTGTAAAAAGCGCTGTATAAATAAAGGTGACTTGACTTTAAAGCTGATAGTTTTCTGATTGAAACTAAGTAACAGTTAGGGCTGGGCATTGACACAAATTTCACAATTTGATTCGATTTCGATTCACAAGCTTGCAATTCGATTCGATTCCGATTCAATATTGATTATTTTGGATATCAGGTACAATACATGGCAAATTTTATCAAGAAAAACAAATCTCTTAACTAATGCTGTAAACTATGGGAGTCAGTTGTAGCCTATAGGCTTCATTACCCTACTATAATATTGAAGGTAAAAATGAACTGATTTGTAGCTATACAAACACTTAAATTACACTTTTATTTATTTTTATAATAATAAAGTTATATGAAATATAAACATTTAAATGGTGGCTGTCATAAAAACTTGCCAGATCTATTCAAACATGCATTAAATATCGAAGAACATTAAAAATTATAATGAATATGTAATATGGTGCATATATTTAGCAAAATGCTCCTCTTTAGAGTTAATTTTTCTAGCTGACTAACGAGTTTATGGTCACATGGTTTTTCTGAGGTAAATGTGACGTTACATTGTTTACAAGTTGTTTTACTGACGTCTTTCCACGGTTGAAACACTGATTGAGCGATTCCACGTTACATGATACGGATTTCGATAAGTTGTACTCTATCTTTTAACACACTTTCAGACGTTCATTCATGTTTATTTGGCGCTGTAACTGGCATTATTAAGGCGGAAGAGGAGATCATGTGCGCTGCCGCTGCTGCTTCTCTAGAGCTGAGCCAGAGCGATATCACGCCACAGCGCCAAAACGCTATTTATGTTTTTGAATTTCGTAAGAAAATGGACGTAATTTGAAATTTGAGACTTTATTTAGTATCAATAGTAACAAAGCACAAAGATTATTGCGATTTATTGGATGGGATGCGCGCTACAATGTTCCATTCATTCATCAAATGAAAATAGGATGACTAATCGATTCTTGAGATTTAAGAATCGATATCGGTTCGTAAAAATGAGAATCGATTAATATCGAGAAATCAATGTTTTTTACCCAGCCCTAGTAACAGTCGCTATGTTTCCATCCACACGTTTTTATCCGCATTAATTGATATCGAATGAAAAATGCCTTATGGAAACAGTAAAATTCGATTGAATTTCATGAATATCGACTCAAATGAAATACGATCGGTCTCATCCGATTTTATCTTGATCAATATACGGCTTATGCGATAAACGGGGATGGAAACGTTATTGTGGCACGATCCATTTTGCCTAGTAAAACTTTGTTCGCAAATGTTTGCTTGAATGTTGTGCAATTCGGTGAGAACACCTTAACATGTTTCAAAACAATTCGATATACCAATTTGATCGCAAAACAGCATGTGACGTCATTACGCACAGGTTTGTATCCGCTTTGAAGCCGTTTGATGGAAACACACTTTCACCAGCTTTATTCGCATGAGTTTTTTTTACCGAACTTCAGATAATTCGATTGACAAGTGGATGGAAACATGGCTACTGTGGCTAATTTAGGGTTGCCACCCGTCCCTTAAAATACGGAATCGTCCCGTATTTGTGAAATAAACAGCGCGTCCCGTCTTGAATCAATACGGGACGCGGTTTGTCCCGTATTTCCGAGTTGTCTTAAATGCATCATCACATGCAAATCATAACACCCGCATTCTGTGAAGACTCGTCCTATTCTACCCTTGATTGGGTAATACTCGCTGCCATTGTTGGTTTGATTGGTTTGTTTAATAACATCAGGTTCAGGGCCAATCAGAGTCAGAGGAGGGCGGGTCTTTTGGCAGAGAGTTGATAGCAATGCTAGCTTAGAGAAATCAAAGCACCGTCTCACAGTTCTTCATACGTTAAGGATCTCCCGAAGCAGATAGTCATAGTGTAATGACAGTTTTTTAATCAGCTCAATAATGTTCTGATTGATTACGTTTTCATATGCTCCATACCCTATGCCCATTTGCTAAGAAATAATGTTTCAATGTAAATGAATTATATCCATACATTATGGTATGATTTGTTTATTATAGTTAAGGTAGTCAGACACATGCATTTTTTAAATAAGAGAGAGAGATATTTAATAATAAAAATGTGCATGTGTGAAGAAAATGACTTATGCTTAACAAATCTAGAGAATAGGTCAATAGGTCTGAATACATAAATAAATAAATACATAAATAGATTTTCTTACCAATAATAAAAATAGTGTTATAATTAAATTTAGAAATGTTTGTAGATTATAGGTTATTTATGTGTGGTATCACTGTTTGGATGGTGTTACATGTTTGAAAGAAACAGCTACTCAGTGCTGCATGGAGTGACAAGTACACTTAACGCCTATAGTCCAATACTGCACAGTACTACTGGTCTACTGATGTTTTTGATGTTCAAGATCCTTTGCTAAAGTCATAGTTTTTTCCAATCAAATTTAGTATTTGTTTGAGTATCAACACATTTGTTTAATTTATAGTGAATAAGTTATGGATCTGTTAATTTAATAAGTTAATAAGTTAACATCTCACATACAACTCCAACGAAAGGCAATTTTTTTTGTAATCTCATTGTCACACTTTGTTAACGTTGTTTGTGATAGAGAGTGATTTATTCACAATGATTTCAATAGCAGATAGCTTATTATAATGTCCATTGGTATGATCTTATTACTTTCCTGAAAAATATGTTTTGAGTTATGATACCATTGGCATACCGTCGGGCCTGTGGTCATTGTGGCCCCGAGGGCTTTGGCCCCCGCTGCGGCCGCCGGCAGGCGTCCCTTATTTTTTTGTATTGAAGGTGGCAACCCTAGGCTAATTATCGTGTTTGTATGATACGTATTTGTACGATCAATAAAGAAATAAAAAAGGAATTATGCGTAGGGCACCAAAATGGCTAGCAGCGGCACTGTATACAATGTTGTGTATGATAAACATGTCATCCCTGTATGTTTTGCAAGAAAAAAGTTAGAAAAAACGATACATCGATGGTTTAGCAATAAAGTAATTTGCTGGTCGTGTCAAAAAGTTGTTGGTCTAGAATCTAGATGAATAGCTGTATTCTCTACGTTCGATAACTTTGAGCTTCTGGTACGATACTTGGCAAGGATGCTAAGCAAGATTATTCTCTTGCCAGGTCACGGGTCACTTCACAGAGGACTTCTTGTTTAACGCGGCCATCTCTCGACTCATGGGCCTGACCAACACACTCTCAGTAAGTCAACAGTCTTTATACTTTCAGAATAACGTGCTTGTAAATTGAAATGATTGATGTAGTTTCTGAAGTGTGTGTTGTCTGACTGTAGCAAGCCTCGGCTGCAGTGGTTCTGCACAGCGTGGAGTTCGAGGAGGCTTTGGCTTCGCTCTGTGTGATGACGGCACCCATGTGTCCACACCTGGCGTCTGAACTCTGGACAGGTACGACAGACTCCACAACCTTCACTCATCCTCATGTTCCCAAAGCTGGACAGGTCAATAAAAGTGAATGTGGATGGGTAACACTAAACTTGAAGGGGTGTGCATAAGACTGACATGACACCTTCATAATCATGACATGACACATGTTATGAATATGAAGGAGGGTTTATGCATGTTTACGATAACTGTCATTAAGTGTCTTTCGCTCAATTATGACATTTTTAATGCAAATATGACATTTTTTGAGATGTCTTTGTTATGACACCTTGACATAAACCAACACATCATAACTTGTCAGTGTCTTTGTCATGACAACTTGACATTACTAAGACAACACAACCTGTCATAAACATGACATAGCAGATTAATTATCAAACTTAAGAAACCACTAAGCTTTATGGGTGAACATTACATTAAACTGTCAGGTGGTTGGTTTTGACATTGGCTGTCATGAAGCCGTTATAACTGTTTAATGACAAATTCAATTTGTACCACTGTAGTTCAGGTCAAGAAAAATATTCATGACACAGTTATAATGGCCTTATGACAGCCAATGTCAAAACCAACCACATGACAGTTTAACTTAATTTAATGTCAAGTTGTCATGACAAAGACACTGACAGGTTATGATATTATGGTTTATGTCAAGGTGTCATAACAAAGACATCTTAAACAATGTCATATTTGCATTCAAAATGTCATTATTGAGCGAAAGACACTTAATGACAGTTGTCATAAACATGCATAAACCCTACTTCATATTCATGACATATGTGATGTCATGGTTATGAAGGTGTCGTGTCAGTCTTATGCACACCCCTTCAAGTAAAGTGTTACCCAGGTCTGGCGGTACCACTTTTAGCACAGCTTAGCATAGATCATTGAATCGGATTAGACCGTTAGCATCTCTCTCAAAAAAAATGACCAAAGAGTTTCGATATTTTTCCTATTTAAACCTTGACTCTTCTGTAGTTACATCGTGCACTAAGACCGACGGAAAATGAAAAGTGGCGATTTTCTAGGCCGATATGGCTAGGAGCTAGTTCATGATTATTTTTGGTCAATATTGAATTCATGATTATTGACCAAAGTATTATTTCATGACATGAGTCATTTTAAATATCAGTGAAATTTCACAATTATCGATACTAATCTAATATAAGACCAAACTAATTGCAAACAAAACGGACAAATAAATGAAAAATTAAATAAACGGGGTTTTACGTTTTTCAGGAAGGTGTACTAACGGTGGTATTCAGAGTAGTAATAGCCTTTGAATAGTATTAATTTTAAATATAAGCATGTTGAATCTGCGTCGGGCCGTCGGTGAGAGGGAACACTCTGATTGGCTGTTCAGCTCAGCGAACGAGCCGTGAACGAGAATAAAAGTATTGCTTGTATGAAAATGGATTGTGGTAAAAAAAAAAAAAAAAACCTGACTCAGGATGAAAGTGAATTATTGTGCGCTGGGTGAAATGCCGTGGAAATGTTAGTGGTGAGGAGAAAAGGAAACTGTTGGCCCCTGTTGTCCATTTCATCACATCCCGCTATTGTCACACACACACACACACACACACACACTCACGAAAACACAGATACTTTGTGTTTTCCCCTGAGGAAAACATGTACATGCTCTGATAACCGATTCTGACCAGAAGACACAAGATGTGTCACCGTGTGACCAAACGTTACTTGTTAAGGGTGTTCATGTGCTTGTGCTCATAGAGTTAAAGATGTTATTGTTATGTAGAAGTTATGAATTAAGATTTTATGTTCTACAAAAAAAAAACATAACAGCATGCAGGTTTGGAACAGCGTGAGGATGAGTAAATAATGGCTGAATTATTTTTTTTGGGGGGGAGAGTCCCTTCCTCTCCAACTTCCTCCTGTACTTATGCACACACACACACACACACACACACACGCACACACACACACACAAACACTCACACACACACACGCGCGCACACACACACAAACACTCACACACGCACACACACACAAACAAACCAAAACACACACACACACACGCCCGCGCGCACACACACACACAAACAAACCAAAACACACACACACGCATGCACGCACACACACACACACAAACAAACCAAAACACACACACACACACGAACGCATGCACACACACACACACACAAACACTCACTCACACACAAACAAACACACACTAAGGACAAGAGGAAATGTACATCCTTCCTGAA